TTGGTAAGTTGACATAAAGTTGGTTTACCAGGTTGACACTCAGAAGTCACACACTACATAACTTGGGTCCACCCACATATAAGTGATGTCTTCTTGGAAAGAAACTTTAAACTAATGGACGATCGAAAGGCTTGGGGGTCTTGAGTCAACGGTGGATAACAAAGTCCAAGAGATATATCTCTCTCATATAATGCTAAATTTTGAGTCGACCAAGTCTTGCGGGGTGACTTGATGAAGTTTGGAGTTGAGTGTGGATTGAGCATCTAGTAGTCGACTTAATTGTGTGAAAGAATGATTGCTTCGTTCCAATAGTTTCCTATTGATCTAGTAGTTTCATATAATGTCTTATTCAATTTTGGACCAAACTAAATGGTTACGTGCTGAAAATTATGCAGACCAGAAGCAGCAACTACTGACTTGATGAATGACACAATCGGATTAGTTTCTTGGATGTGAGATTTCTTTTGTGATGTTACTTCCTATGATTCACTCTGCTTAAAGATTCAAGCTTTAGCACAAGTCAAATAGTTCGAAAATACCCAAAGGGAGAACACCCAGTTCCGATTATCAACAAAAACCCAGTTCCATTCGTCACATTTGCGTCTGCTTTGCTCAAATTCGTGACCCATCCGCCACCTCCCTAACTGTTTTCAGTTCAACAACACAGAGAGACGAGAGAGAAAGACAGATCGACGCTTTATGRCTACCTCTCCACCTCCAAATTTGATTATGGTTCGAGATGAGAGTGGTTCGTGACCCATTTCCCCAACCTCCAGATCAGATATGATTTCTCGATTCCGCCGTTGATTTGATTTGGTTGTGATAAAAGGTTTAATCTGAATTTGATTTAGGTTTACATTTAGGGTTCTTATTTTTAGATTTAGAGAAGATGACGATTGAAAAAATAATTTAAAAGATATGTTTTTTTCTTAAATTAGGGGCTTTTTGGCAGTTGCTGAATGATTTAGTGCAGAATAGTTAAGAGGTCAAAATGACTAAAAGGGTCAGAATGGTTAAGTACCGAATGAAATATGGTTGTTTGGTAAATGTTTTCTGAATGATAACAAATTACCATTTTAACCCTCAATGATATTAAATAATTTAAATTAAATTATAAATAGGTAACAAAAATCACATATGGATATACATTCCAGTAATTTCATCGCCCCCTTTTATCAAATTGAAGCAAACTGGAAAGCCTGGTTTGGTCATCGTCGGTTCTCCTACCATCTCTCCTTCCCTCCGTCGTCTGGTTTGGTCGTCATCGGAGTTGAAGGGATGTTTGGTCGTCGTCGGTTCTCCTGCCATCCCTCTCCGTCGCCAGCCTTCCGCCTCTGCCTTCTCTCCGTCGCCAGCTTCGATCGACTGTTCCGGTGACCAACAAGAGCAATTTTGGTAGGGTGGTTTTACCCACTATGAACCCTCGATTTTATTTTTGGGTTCTATGATTTGATTTTGATTTCAATAAAGAACAGACTTTTTGTGGGTTTGATTTGCTGTGAGTGTAATCGTTTCCTTCCACATATCGATTGGAAGGAGGATAGTGGAAGGAGTGGGAGGCCGCGAGATCGATTAGAAGGAGGAAGGAGGAAGGAACGTGGCTGGAAAAGGTTGAGAAGGCAAAAATGGAAGAACATACATCTGAACCATTTAGGAGCCCCCTAACCCCTAAATCGTTAAGAGGATTTTGTCATGGTTAAGAGGTTCTTATTTTTTTTGCCAAACAGCTTATACCTCTTACCGATTAAGAGGTTTCCTCTTAATATCACCATTAAGAGGCAACCAAACAGCCCCTTACACATGTTACCCTCGTGGTTGACGGAGATGGTTGATGGCTGTTAGGGTGTAGGACTAAATTGTAAGAAACGTGCAAACAACAGGTCCTGTTCTGTAATAAATAAAGTTTAGGTACTAATTTTGTAAAAGGTACCAAACTACATAGACCAAATCTGTAATTAACTCTTTAATATACAAGTCTATCCTACTCCTTTTCATATGATTGGTCTACAATACATATTCTTTTTGTTTTTTAAAAAATTGACTCAAATAACCATCCATCCATTTAAATTCGTCTTTTAATTATTTCTTTCCTGAATTAACTTAAATGTCATTAAGTATGAAATATTTTGGACCTGACTAAATAATAGAAAAAGAATTATCAAATTCAACCCAAATATGCAATTGCGACGACCAAATCTGTAATTATGATGGTGCCACTTGCTAACCTGGTGGAACTTGAACTTTTTTTTTTGTCTTTTAGCCAGGTCTGCAATATTATAAACATGGATATTGCAGACATAATGCTATTTAGGTAAATATTACAGATTTATAGATGTAAATATTGCAGAAATAGTGACATTCAGATAAATCTGCAAGAAAAATGACTAGTAGACCAATTTAAATGAGTAGAAAAACTATTTGAGTCAATTTTCGTTTGGAAAATAATGTCACAGTCGACTTGTATATAGGCATGGGAATACGCCCTGATCCGTCGGGGAAAACCCGGTCCACCCGCCCTGGTCGAGGACGGGGATTCCCCGCTAAATCGGGAATAGGGACGGGGACAGGCATCGCTCCGTCCCGTCTCGTCCCGTACCCGTTATATATATTAATTAATAAATTACATATATAAATATATTATTTATTTCAATTAAACCGGTAATTCATAATTTCATATTTCCTAACTAGGTTCATAATCTAAAATTGTTATTTTTTTTATATCTAGTCAAAATACATTTACTCGATATGGTTTTATATTACTCAATATTTTTTGGTACATTTGACTTTAAGTTTTTTTGGATCAAATCGAATATTTTTTTTGTTTCAGATTATTAATTCTTATATGATGTTGTAGTTTTTTTCGTATTAAGTTAAATTAATTTTGGTTTTAGGTTTATTGAAAATGTTTGAGATTTAAACATGTATGGTCTCTCACATATTTAATTTAAAATAACCTACATAAATGGAAAAAAATCCCCATTTCCCCGTTGAAGATGAGGATGCAATTATATTTTCCGACAAGGATGGGGACCGTAACGATGATAAAGATGAGTAATCAGGGACGAGGATGTATGTTAAATTATATTCATACGCATCATAACACGTGATTTTTTAAGGGCATTGTGGTCTTTTACCTTCAAATTTCTTTTTCTTGTGAATTAAAATGGAGACGCTTCACCGAATAACTAAAAGCCTCCATCTCCGGCTTCCTCTTGTTTTTCCGTCTAACCGGAGATACAGACGAAATCCMAGTATTGAATTTAGGGTTTCGAATATGATGAAGGCGTTTCGTATAATCAACCACCTGCAATTGGGATAAGAGGTTAGCGAGCATGACCAAGGGTTTGATTTTGAATTTAATTGTTGTGTTTTCCAGATTTTCACTTTTATATATCGTTATGCATAAAACATAAACTGTGTTTTCATCCACAGACAGACAACTACAAATGCTACACAAACATTCAGCTGCAAATCTTGTTCTGTTATCATGGTTACAAATCCACTTATTTAAGCTCATTCTTGCTCAATTGATAAGCATGTTAAAGAAACACTAATTACGACAAGCGATACGAATCTTAAACCACACTTCGTAGAGAAAATAGAAGTAAGCACTTCTCCATGCTTTGCTGGCAATCAGAGGACCAACCACACCCCAGAACCCGATTATAAATCCAACCACAATGCTGATGATGAATCCCCACTTAACTCCATCTGATTCATCTTCGTCATCATTCACACCATCTGAATCCCCAGGTGAGACCCTTTTCTTGTTGCATATCTCTGCAAGTGGAGGCCCACAGAGTGTGTTTGCCATGAAACTGGACTCATTGAAGCTCTGAAGCTGAGTACTTGTTGGGATTTCTCCTGTTAATTTGTTGCTAGACAAGTCTAACCAATTTAAGGTTGTCAACCTCGACATGCTTGAAGGAATCCTCCCATCAAGCTGGTTCAGAGACAAATCAAGAGATTCAAGTAATATCATTTCACCAATCGCCTCCGGAATTCTTCCCGTTAAATGATTCCCTGACAAATTCAACCACCGCAAGCCTAAGAGTCCCATAAGTTCCATGGGAATGGGCCCGGAGAATTTGTTACCTGAAAGATCCAACGTTGTAACCAAATACAGAATGGTGCTATAGTCAAACTCTCTTCCTTTAGTCACCAATGATGCACTGCCAAGAACTTGCACCTGAAATGGCAAATCATATAGCACAATTGCACTCGACTTTTGCCTTCCAGACATGATGCTGAAGTTGTAGAAACATGTTGGTAGGGTTCCCGAAAGATTGTTGTGAGCAAGATCCAAGATCTGGATAGAAGTGAGACGACAAAGTTCATCWGGGATTTCACCTTCCAGCTTGTTTGACCTGAGGCTGACTAGTTTCAACTTTGTTTCTTCTCCATCTATCAACAATGGTATGCTTCCGGTGAAATCATTCTCAGCAAGCTCAATAATTTGTAAGCTTTTCAAATTCAAAAGAGATGCAGGTAATTTCCCAGAGAGCTTGTTATTGCGGATGTTGAATGATTGGAGGGAAGATAAGCTCCCCACAGATTGTGGAAGTTCTCCAGAAAGATTATTGTTCTCAAAGTTTACAACCGATAAAGCTTGCCAATTCGTCCAACAATCTGGGATAACACCTGACAGGTTGTTATTGGCTAAATCAAGAACTTGCAACTGTCTTTCGCTCTCCAAACTAGGACACAAGAATTGCTCGAGAGATCCTGAAAGATTATTGTTTGAAACATCAAGAAGAAGAATGTCAGCTTCGTTGAATTTTCCAGGCAACGAGCCTTCAAATTGGTTGTCACTTAGATCTACTACAGCYTCTGGTGCAAGGATAAGATCTCCTATCAACATCCCTCGRATATTATTGTGAGACATGTTCAAGAAACTAATATCGGGAAATGAGATCCAAAACCAACTAGGTACGATGTCTGAAATTCCTGCATCGGCTATGTCCAAATTCATCAAGTTTGTTTGTGACCGAAGCCATGAAGGAAAACGAGGGCCTAATTTCCAAGAACCTATTCTCAGTCTTTCGAGCTGGAAAGGAGGGACCCAGTTACGAACACTTAGTTCTAGAGTTAACATGTTTGCCCCTGCCCATAAACTCTTCAATGTCGTTAGATTCGCAAAGTGATCAGTTAAAACACCTGTTAACGAATTGTGATGCACACTCATATATGTCAGTTTCCCTAGCTGACCCAGACTTTGAGGTAGAGTTCCATTGAAATTGTTGAAAGAAATCTCTAACCAATCCAATGATGTTAAGTTCCCCATTGAATCTGGGAGCAGACCATACATGGAGTTAACATTAAGCACCAATTGTTTCAAGTTTGACAATCTTCCTATAGAATATGGAATTACACCAGAAATGTAATTGAATGCAAGATCAAGGGTGGCTAGATTTTGAAGATTTCCTAATCTATCTGGTAAACGACCAGAAAGGAGGTTTGCACTGAGCGCAAAATACTCCATCTTTGGCGAATTACATTCACATAAGTTATCTAGAATCCCTGATACACTTCCAGTGAAATAGTTAGCTCGGAAATCAACATACCTCAAGTTGCAAAGGGTACCAAATGAGTTTGGCAAGGTCTCCGTGATTTGATTTTGTGACAAATCGATACTAACAAGAGAAGTCATGTTCTGAAGACCACCAAGAATTGAAGTTGAAAGATTACTGGTACTAATATCCAGGGAAACAAGACCGGTTACGCTCAACAACCCCCTCAAAACGGATGAGGAATTCATAAAATCGTTTTCAGACACGTGAACGACTTTTAGATCGATCATGTTATGAAAACCACCAACATTACCAGGAACTGGACCATGGAAAAGGCATCTTGTCAAATCTAAGGAAACTAGTTTAGTTAGACTGAAAATCCACCCAGGCATCAAAGTGTCGAAAATGTTATACGAAAGATCGAGGATGGTTAGTGAAGTAAACTTAACTGTGGTTAAATGATTAGAGATCTGAGAAAGATTACATGAAGACAAGTGCAATTCTACCAAAGACGGAAGGGTGTTGATTACTTGAAGCCAGTCGGATGCACCGCTAAGATCATAGCCAGACATATCTAGGTGCTGCAACAAAGGGAGACTCGACAGCCAATGCAGATTGTTCACCTGAACGTTACTTAGCCAKGGTCCGTTTCTGAGATCAAGAACAGCCAACCTGGATAGATTCCCGAGTTGTTGAGGTACTCGACCATAGAATTGCGACATTGAGAGATTCAAATATCTCAAGTTCTGAAGAGAACCGATGAAACTAGGAATTTCTGTAGTTCCAAAGTCATTGCAGCTCAAATCTAGATACCTAAGTTGCTTCAACGATAGCAGCGAAGGATTTATTTTTCCTCCTAACATCTGTGTGGATGCTTCTTCAAGTTCTGGATCGGGTCCTCGAAGATGAATCTCTTGGACGAGACCAGTGAAGTTATCGCAAACGATTCCAKCCCATCTACAACAGTTGATGTTTKCCYTGTTCCAAGATGAGAGCCGGTTGGTATCGTCTATGAGATCATGCTTAAACTGCAAAAGCGCCACTCTCTCGTTCTCATTGCATATAATCCGTCTCGAGTT